GGCCGTGGGTGTCCCGATTTCCCCATTAAAATTTGAGACAAATCGGTCCAGGGGTTCTTGAGTTATGATCGGACAAACAAACAGAGATAACAACTTTATATATAAATACATAAATAAAAAGTATAAAAATTACAAAATATACATTAAAAGGTGAAAACTGGTTTTCTAAAGTTAAGATTCACTTTACTTTTGGCCATAGCCTCTGCTCACTAATCACATGCGCCTTTTTACACGCAAATTTTGTCGTCTGTTTCTTTTTTATCTTTGACTTTATTATGACTGGCATAGTGGCATTCATATAAGCATATTGTATATTCATAGGCTTATATGTTTTGTAATTCATAATCATGAATTGCGGGAGGTTTATTTGTTCCATCTCATTACTAACTTCTTAATTCACGATTAGCTCCTGGCCGTAATAAATGTTCGTAAAGATAAGAATATATAAAGAATAAATTAGCTCCCTACGCCCTTTTAAATCTATCTATTTAGCGAATAGATTCTAGTACAATAGATGCAACGTAGGGTTTGTACCAGGGAGTAAGAAATATATTCCTTACTCCCTGGTTTGTACACTTTCAGTACAGTTGTATTCTTACTTCACAAGTGTCAACTCAGTTTTTTTGTCCGACCAAATTATTGATAATAGTAATAATTTTAGAATAAAGTGCAATTCAATGCGTTCTATATTTTCTGTTGGTACACTTTTTTATTTGATCTTGGAAAACATGTCAACTAATGTGATAAAATTTCGTTTTCTTTGTTATATTTGACACTTGTGACGACGTGTATAATTGATCCATTTCTCTGTTGCCACCTATTCTACTTGATAATCTATTTGCTTTTTAGTATGTTACATCTTTATATTATATACTTTTTTTTACAATCATTGGTCTTGTATTTAAACATTGAGAAACATAAAATTTGGCTTGTTTGTATTTTTGGCCTTTGTCGAAATTGTAGAATAGTAGGAAAATTTGTTGCTTCTTTACATTCTAGCAATCCGTCGATGTTAACAAAAAATTCCGCAAAATTTTTAGTTTTACAAATACGTATAAAAATTCCGGCCTGAAAAGTAATATTTAAACTATAAGAGGAATATCGGATGATTTTAAAATACCACTGCAGTAACGCCACTTCAGCTAGTACATCATATTATTTGAACAGACTATTTTTATTAATCAAGAACACGTGGAATGGATTGATGTACGGTTTGTGCAATTCAAGGTTATGCCCGGCCGGTTGTGCATTTAAAACGCCCAACAATAAGCAAACAGACTTATCCCCCCCTCCACCCGACTGCAAAACCCTTTGAAGTCATATTTCAATGTAAGTTAAAGAGACATTTTCAAGTTTGGAACTTGAAGAATGGGATTTCAACTATTTGCTCCAGAAATTCAATTTTTTTTTACACAGGGCGTTTAGAATTCAATAAATCCACTTAAAACTTTAAAGATAGTAAAACTAAAATCAAACATGTAGTTCAGGATATAATTATGATATGGTATGGTATGGTATGGTATGGTATGGTATGGTATGGTATGGTATGGTATGGTATGGTATGGTATGGTATGGTATGGTATGGTATGGTATGGTATGGTATGGTATGGCATGGCATGGCATGGCATGGCATTATATAAACATGATATTGATAAACAAGAATTGTACTATACAATTTTCCCCTATGCCATCTGTATTACATTATTGTTGTGGACTCTTTCAAAATATTTAAAAGCCTGTATTTTATTCCTGTTATGCCAAACCATTACATATTGAAAACCTGAAGTCACGAAAACCTTGTGATATGCACTATGCATGTTTTCCACTAGAGATTTATTTTATGCCTTTTGAAAATTGATAAAGAATTTAAAGGACGTCTAGAAGTTTCTTATCATGCGCATGACAGAGGAATTGTATATACTAGGAATAATTCATCTTAAAGGGACTGAACATGTTTTCTATAAAGTTTGAATAATCTGTATTTTAATTTTACCAAATTCTCCCTTAAAGAACGAAATAATGATTTAAAAATTATAATTATACTTTTATAAATTAGATTTAAAATTCAGAGTTTAATGTTAATATTTTTTTACATTAAACTTTAAAATTCCCTTTAATCTTAGTTTAAACTGCTAGTCATTCGGAATTCTCGACAAGTACAAAAAGTCTGTAATTTTAACACAAAAGAAAACACCTGATTAGAATCTTGCATTTTTAAATTGTTGCCGATTTAACTTTCGTTTTGTTCAGATTAAATTAAAGCACAGTGATCCAGACAGCTACTTAAAAATATATATCTTTAAGTTTATACAAATTTAAATTTTTTGTGGCAACTCTCACGACCCCAGGAAAGTTTTTTTGGATGGTTTAAAGGTACAAATAGTGCCTAGAAAAAATCTCGGATTTTTTTAATATTAGAAATCTATTATTGTATAAGAAAAATCCGCAAAATTTTACAATTGCTGAGAAAAAAGTGGCTGCTTGGAAAGCAACATATTTACATATTTAAATATTTACTATATGAGGGGCGTGAAGCGCAATGGAAGCCTATTTTTTTCCACATTTACGGAAGTATTTTCATATTGATTGTGTTTAATGAGTTGCATAAACGTTTTTGTAAACCTAAACCTGGATGATTTAACCCATTCACTCATGTCCTTCAATTTTAATCTATCTTTTATATATTTTAAATAAGAAAAAAGATTTAAAAACCTTAATCTTTAATTAAGTCTTAGATACAGACATGACTAAAAAACGCACTTTATCTTTCAATGTTTGTTTTACATCCAGTGATAAAATGTATAATCATATGAGGTAAAATATACGAATATTCGAATAACAAAAAAATAGTCGGCCTTGGATATTCCTTGATAATAACTTAAAAAGAATACTCAAGCTCTAAAAAAAATTTTATTTGTTTGGCGGATATCGATGAGGAGGGAAGGAAAAAGAATGGAAAGAAAAAACATTCAAAATTGAAGTAAAATTATCAAGGATTGACAGAATTTGCCAAATTAATTTGAAACTTCAAATTTTAATTGGCTTTAAAGTTTTCAGTTAAGTGGGTTTTCATAAGCAAATTTTTTTTTCCAGGCGTAGGTGGGCTCCTAAGCTATAGTATAGATGATGTAGATGTTTTCTAGAAATTCTCATATTTGATTTTCTGGGATGGGTTTAGATAATTTGATATTTTTGCATTACTCCCCCAACCCTCGTCCTTCATATTCTAATACTTTTATCATGATTGGAGACTGAAAATAAACTCGTTTTACGAAGATATTTACAGGTATAATGATTAACGAACCAAACGACCTTCTTGTTGTAATACCTTTTTCCTCTATGAAGGTTTACTGGTATGCATTATGCATTATTATCTTATCCAGTCATTCATTAAATAGACTGCGTAGTGCGTACTGATTAAAAATAATGCGATATTTTTGGTTGCAGAAAGTAATTATTCAAATTTTTTTTTATATATATTTTACTTTCAGAACAAACTTTTTACATTTTTTTAGCATTTCGACATATTTAGAATTACGTTAAAAATGTCGTACACACATTTTTGCTGTTTTTTGGGATAGGGAATTATAATCCTATTTCAAAGAAATTGAGCCTTTTCTGCAAACTCTGATTTTCCAACCACTATATCTTTGCATCCCGATATCGCAGCCTTTAGATTATTTTAAAGTGTGAATTCTGTTATTGAAAATATCTCAAGTTTTAAATAGTACACCATCAGGTTACAACAATATAAGGATTATAATTCTTAAGTTTGTGGCAATAACTCAATACCTTTACAATTTTGCCGAACATTTTGTTTTTCTTGTTGAGTTCGATAATGCATTTGACAAGTTTAACAATTCAGCAATGTTTCGCAATTTCCTTTATTTCTGCAAAACCCTGAGTCGCAAGTTTTGATGCAAAATTTTATTCTAATCATCTTGATGCTAATTCTTTATTTGTTTTGTTTAAATGTCACTGCTCTACTATCCTTTGTTCTTTTTAATGTTTTATACACTTTTAATGCAACAAGTTGTAACATTATCGCAAAAAATACACAAAAAAAGTTTTTTTTGAATAACCTTTTTATTAAAAAAAATATCCTAATGAACATTCACTGCTAAACTTTCCTTTACCAATTTACTAAAGTTTTAGAAATGTCTGCAATATTATTCATAATATTTATTATAATATTTATCATAATATTTATTATAATATTGTTTATAATTTCATACTTAATTATATTTTTAACAATTTGTTACTTTATCTTTATGTTTGGATTCTTTTTTTAAAGAAAGGAGTTGAGTGTTTACAACAATTTAAATTTCGGTGATGGTAATGGACCAAACCTCTCTGTAGAGTAAAAAAAGTAGATGTTAGTTCCACATTCAGATTCAGATTTTCTAACCCCTATATCTTTGAAACGTGCAATATCGTATATATTTCAAACCGTGAATTCTGTAATTTCAAATATTTGAAATTTGAAATATCTACAGCTTACCATATCAGGTTGCAATTAGGCAGGGATGGAATTTAAAGAATTTGAGCCGCGGTTTAAATCCGCCAAAACCCGGTTTAAATTCAGCGCCGGCTTAAATCTTGAATGACTTTCAATGTATAGACCGAAATATGTAATAGATCTAGATAGAATAGATTTAGGTAAACTTGCTATGGATAGTAATCTAGTTTTCTCATTTATTAAGTTATATTTGATCCACTGAGTTAATTTTCCCTCTACATATTAAAGTTCTTCGCTCATATATATTTATATTTTTATATAGCCTATAGCTGGGCAAACGGCTGGACTAAATTGCCTGACATTTTTTAGGTAACCCATGGGTAACATTGGAGGAACAAAGGTTAAACAAATTTGATTTTCTTTTTCCAAAATCGATTTTTTTACAAGCGCCGGGCACTTCAGCTCGTCTCTTATATTCTGCAGAGACTACTTTTCTATGGAAATTGTCTTTGCAAAAATAATCATTTCCTATTTCAGAGATATGTTTGTTTAAATGTAAACATTTAAGACGGACTAGACATCTGAGAAAATAAAGAAGTGTGCTGATTAGCAGAGCCGGGAATAGAAGATGACCTTGACCAACTCCTTTTAAAAATCAGCAGGTTATTTTTTAATAAAAAACCATGAATATTTTGGTAGACTACAGCGCTAAGATTTTCAATTATATTGATTATTTTCGTTTATTATATCATTATGAATAATCAAACAGACTCAGTTTTAATTGGTATCTTTTTAATCATCTAGTTACTTTTTTGCTGGGATTATTATAAAACCCATATGCTCCAATATTCATATTCAATATTCTTCAACTTTAAATTCTCTCTTTGGCCATATTTAAATATGTTTGACCTTGAATGTCAAACCGAGACATTTTTTATAAAAGGTCACGAAAAACTACTGTCTGAAACTGACGCGCGAAAAACTACTGTCTGAAACTGACGCGAACTGCTTTAACCCTTGTATTTCGTTTTTAAATTTAAATAATCGAAAAAATTTCGAAATTTAAAATATTTTGCTCTCAATTAGAAACAGAATTTTTGGGACATCTCAATAAAAATTACACACATTCTTAACCCTAATAATTTTTATTTGCGATAACTCAAAAATTATTTGAGCTAGCGCTAATCTCAAATTGTCTAGCTTTTCCAACAAACAAAAGCCTGTAGCAAAGATTGAGGCCTATTGTAATTTATGTCGTACCTTGGTTCATATAGTAAATATGCCAGTTATAGTAATGACGCAAATCCTGTATTGCGAATAACCCATTCCATGTAACTCCATCATACCCATATTGTGATTATTTAACTACGTTATATATATATAACAGTGCAGAACTTGTAATTACGCTGTTAATAAACCCAATTCTAATCTCAACTAAGAAATACACCTCAGTTGGTAGAATAAATCCGTACTGTTTACTGCGAGAAAGTAATCCTGAAACCCTGTTTTTTAAACAAGTAGGATTGTCCTAGTTAATTTGGGATTGATATATAGCTTGTTGTATAGCTAGGCTTGTGTCCCTGTGTTGCATTTAGAGCACCGGATTGTCCCCATCATTTGGGATCGATATATAGCTTGTTGTATAGCTAGGCGTGTGTCCCTGTGTGGCATTTAGAGCACCGGATTGTCCCCATCATTTGGGATCGATATATAGCTTGGTTTACAGCTATGCTTGTGTCCTTGTGTGGCATTTAGAGCATTGGATTAGTAGGTGGATTTTGATAGCTACGCGTGTGTCCCTGTGTAAAATTTAGAGCCTGGGATTTAGTCCTGCATGATTTGATAGAGGACGGATTATACCTGGATAGATACGTTTAGAGAACTTGTTATGGAGTAGATGTTTACTACATGCCCCTCACATAGAAAGAAATGATGGAATTTTATACTTACCATGACTGAGTCCTTAGGCACTGCCTTAATGCCTTATTTTACTTATACCAGATATATTGGGACCTACTTGCAGTTGTTGTATTTCAACATTTTATAGTTCTGTGGAAAGCCTATAACAAAAGGAAGCAGTCTGCTATGGGGGTTAGATTTACTCAACAGCAACTCCAACAAGAACTGATACAATAGGGAGAAGAAGGGTTCTTTAGTTTAGCAGGGGGTTTGCAACTCAAGATTTAAAACCAGATACCAAGTTAAAATAAATTGATCAAGTGCACTGCATTCATTTTACCAGGCATTAGAATTTTCACGTACTCGTACAGGACAGAGATGCAGAAAATGGGGTTCGTACTTAAAAAAGAAATAAGAATTAATAAATGTATTTCATCTTTATTTGTCAAGATATTTTCCTTCACCAATAAAGTGAATCAAATGTTTTTATTATTTCACTTTTTTACTTTCATACTTTCATACGCTTTAATAAATATTTTTGTAGTAATTTAGATCACTCTATTCAGGGAACGGGGGTTTTTAGACTTATTTAATATTTGATATTAAAAAAACTTAAATTTTTTATGAGATTTAGCTCTTTATAACACTTACGCATCCTTTTAGCTTATAGCTATTTAAATGGGTTAAATAATGTTCTAAAGAAAAAAGTTGTAAAATGTATAAATTAGAAGTATTAGAAGAATTGGAAAAAGTTCTTCAAACCTTCTTTATAATTAAGCTCTTCGCTAATATATATATGTTTGTATATTGTAAGCTATAGCTGGCCAATTTGAATTTTTTTAAAACATAATTTTTTTTCCAAAATCGATTTTTTTCCACGGGCACCTCAGCTTGTGCTATATGTATATTATACATATTTTTATATTTTCTGACTTATAGATAGATTGGGATATTAGATATTAAATGTCGATAAATATATGCAATAGATATTAATACATAAAAACCAACAATATATTAAATTACCAAAATTTTTCAGAATGGAGAACTACAGATCAGTATTCTGTTCTCTACTCCTCCTCTCATCCTTCTCCTTCTCCTCCGTATCCCTTGATCCTACCCCCTCCTCATTCCTAGGTATATCTCTTCCACATGGATCAATTACATTCTTCGGATCAACCTTTGGACCCAGAGTTGATACAAAGAGGAATGATTGGAAACCTGTGATAAGTCCAAAACCTTCATTTTATCCTCAACCCTTTCAGAAACATCAGTCTCAGAATCATTATCAACAGCCTCATCCTCATCCCCAGCATGGACCTCCACAGCATCAATATTCTCCGTTTCAATCCCAAATTAATTCTCAACATCGGTTTCAATCCTTAAATTCACCTGCTTTCCAACAACAGTCAACCCAACACCAACAACAACAACAACAACAACAACAACATCAAACGCAGCCTTCTTACTCCCAATTGTCCTATTTCCCACAGCAAAGAAATTCCAACTATGGGAGATCAGAGGAAAAAAGTTCTCCAGGACAAAATACAAATTTTCCGTCTGATGCATACAATTCATTTATAGTCTCCTCCCCCACCCCTCCTCCTTATGTACATAGTACAACTCCTTCAGCAGTACACCTGGTTTATGTACAAGATTCATCAGACACATCTGATACAAGATTATACAGAGATCTATCCTCTACCAGGCCTGACAAGAGTTTAATCCAAACCCTACCTCCGCCATCTATCGACAACATTATTGAACTAGAAAACCACTCTGAAGTGAACAGTACACCCCAGCCAGATGCTAGCAGCGAAGCTCCAGTTCTAAATGAATACAAACCTTTTACATCTTTTAACTTCAACTTTTCCTCTCCCTTCACCTTAAGCGCTAATGAGGCAAATCATATATTTTTGGTTTTACTCAAAGTTTGACTTTTTTGTTGGCAACGTAAAATAAGATCGAAATAATATTTTCTTCTATTTTATGACGATTCATAACCTAACAATTTTGTGATCGAATCTTACCCCGTTGAAATGTACTTTAAAGCTGCTTTCTGCGTTAAATAGATAAAACTAGAAACCTAATCAGTTTTAAAACCGGATATGCAACATGTTTGCCATGTTCTAGATTGCATTCGCTTAACTGGTTTCTCTGCAAGGTGAATAGTGCAAATCTTTTTTGCAAATCAGAAACATATAGATAACTTATAACTTTGGACATGCATATAGAAAGGGTCTGAGGTCCGGTGTTCCGGTTCTATTTTAATGCAAACTATTTCTTTAATTGGTCAGCAATATGCATTAAAGAACAGCTTTTAAGAATTCGGAGGTCGAAAGGTACAAAGTATTCTTTGAAATTTTAATTTTGTCTTCAAATTGTAATTTTTTTCATTTTTTTCCCTTTGATTTTGACAGCTGGTAAATTTTATGATTTTGAAGCATGAGACACGTGAGAAAGCGGAAACCCGGGAGATATTGGAGGAAAAATCCACAAGCTCTGTCCATACAACCACGCCGCTGTCATTTTGGAACTTTTTCAATCCTCCCAAAGGTGATGATGACACACAGGATGATTTTGAGAAATCCGAAACCCCTGAAAAAGAAGATAAATCTGAATCACTATCTACTAAAGAAGATGTTTATAACAATGAAGATGTTGACGATGTTCTTGAGACTGATGCAGAAATTGAAAAACCGCCTAAGCAGGAGAGATTAACAACTTTGGAAGATGTTCTATTTGGAGATACACCAGCTTTGGAGCTTGAGAAACAAAGGTAATTATTTGTTCAGTTCCTATTCCACTGTGATTAAAAGGTTGCTCTCAATATCAATGATAATTTTGCCAGTTTGTCCAAAAAACCAAAGCTAACATAAAGTCTAGTGAAATAAAACTAAATATTTATTCATCCTTAAAGGGACTGTAAGCATAATTTTAAGTAAACCTTCATTCAAGGAGGACATTGTCCGATTTACAACGATACCTTTAAAACCGTGTATTCGTGTAGTATTGAGATATGTGTGTTTAAACTTATCAAAACCCGCTGGTATTCAGCTGAAAGTATATTCAGCTGTGTTTTAAGGTGTACTAAGGTTTTATAATCCGGCATTTCATTGCAGTTTCGTTAATCCTCGAATTTAATTTCCACGATTCAACCCAGCATTTTTTTTTCGACGAAGACGACACAATAAAGAGAAGTTTTTCGATTTTCTTTATAAAAAAGACCCAAAACTGCCAATTTAATCAAAGTAACCCTCAATTTTATAGATTATATAATTATAATCATTATATTTTCATTATCACATTTTTCCAGCTGTGAGTTGTTGAGGGCGCTGCATACAAAGTTGCCCAACAAAAATGAGAATTCAGAGACGACTGTACAGAATTTATACAGTTTGTTTCATTTTATCCCTATTATTCTGCAACGGTATAAACTTGTTTCTTTCTTTGCCCAATCATTAAATAAGCCATAAAAAACTATATTCATGACAAAAGACTTTATTTAGTCTTGCGTGATCGTCTTATTTTAATACATGCAGGTCGTCTTTACCCTGTGTAAAGGATCGCTTCTAATTAAACCCCTTGAATAGGCAGGAACTGGAGGAGCTCTGGAAGGATCTGGAAGATGAAAACCAATATCTAGATGAGCTGGGCGCAGGAAATCCAAGAATACCGCGTAAGACTAGTAAACCCAAGAAGTCGAAGAAGCTGACAGGATTGATTGAGAAAGCATTAAAGCTTGTTCGACGAGTTGAAGAGATTGGTGAGAGGAAGAGGACAATTGAAACCTTAAATAAACCTGAACCAATCATTGCTAACAAGGCGTTGGAGGACATTAAAGACTTGAAGGTAACATTAAGCATACAGCTAAAATATAATAATTTTGGTAATGCTTTAAAGACAATTTATGCGCAATTTCAAGTGGACCCACATTTATAGAATGGTATGTTCAATTCACAACGGTACCGGCTATATTTATCTATATATCCTCCTGATATTCCCACTGTTATTCTTATAGTTAAGTGCTAAATATTCTAATATTTTAGGAAAATCAACGTTTCACAGAACTTAAAGATCTGATTCAGGAAAGCATTTAAATAAAAAAATCATTACAAAATGGTAGTGTTGTGTTGGCGAGCAATTTTCGTTATTTGTTTGATTCAGTAATTTAACTTTGATATTTTAAATGTAAAATCTGAACCTCTGGGTTATACACTATTTAAAGCTTGACTGCCATAAATTAAGTTAAAAAATTATAAATTGTAAAATTATTGAATTTTAACATTTTAAATTTCTGATATTGAGTATATAGTTGAACCGTCAAGCCCTGAAAAATCCCATCAACGTTATCAAATCAATTTGATACTTTTACATTTAGATTATTATAGTAATTGTCTGATATTGAAAATGTTTATTAACTATAGAACCAAAATTCACTCACTTCTCTCATCAAGTCAGAAACTTCAAGCCTCAGGCAAGATTTATTTTAAATTTTTAACAAGTTTAAAAACATCCTATATCTAGATATTAATCATGCTGCAGTTATATAAGGTTTATGGTGTATAAAATAAACCCTCTTGCATATTATGATGTTAAGTATAAATTATCTATTATCTTCCAGTCAATTACAATGAAGGGAAATGGTTTTCAAGAAATGTAAATTTTCACAAAGGAATTGAGTCTTTGCCATAAACTCACTTCATCAATTTGCAATCCAATGTCGCAGACTTTATATTCTGTTTCATCAAACAATCTAAGTTTGAAATATCAAAGGTTCAAACCACAGGTTTCTTAGATTACAAAATTTGAGTTTGTGAAAAAGACTCAATTTCTTTGAGTTGAATAGTCTACTAGAAAAGATCAAATTTTGTAAATATAAGTTGAAAAGTCTACTAGGAAAAAGTCAAATTGTAAAAATTAATAAGTTTTTAAAGAAACACCCTGTGATAGAATATACTTCGGGATAAATTACTGGATACAAGAGTAAAGAGACATCCTGTATTAGTATATACTAGCTGGAGGGCCCGGCGTTGCCCCTGGATAAATAAATTTGAAAAAATATATTTTCGATTTTTAGCCTATAATACTCCCCGCCCACCCCTGATTGTCCACAAAAAATTTCAGCCCAATCGGTCCAGCCGATTGGCCGGCTATAGGCAACATATATGTATACGAATGTCTTGTTTTATTATACTGATTTATAAATAAATTGCTGGATACAAGACTGAGTAAAGAGATACCCTGTAATAGTATATATTTAGAGATATATTACTGGATACAAGACTGAGTAAAGAGATACACTGTAATAGTATATATTTAGGGATATATTACTGGATACAAGACTGAGTAAAGAGATACACTGTAATAGTTTATATTTAGAGATATATTACTGGATACAAGACTGAGTAAAGAGACACCCTGTAATAGAATATATTTAGGGATATATTACTGGATACAAGACTGAGTAAAGAGATATTTAAATTTACATTTACATTTACATTTACATTTACAATTAAAATTGTCTCGTTCAAGGAAAAATGATCTAAATCGTATAATCATGATTCTACTCCAAATCCGAATCTGTTTTGCCGAAGTAAATTTTATTAAGATCATCATTTGGAAGAAAGGAATTGAGGCTTTGCCACAAACTCTGATTTTCTAATCCCTTAATCTTTGCAACCCAATGGTGTAGATATTTCAAACTTTTAACTTCAACATCAGGTTGCAAAGATATAGGGATTAAAAAAATTAAGTTTGTGGCAAAGACTCAATTCCTTTTGATTTATTATGTTTGATGTCTAAAAAATTAGGGGAAAATACAAAGTTTTAACATATTATACAGAATTAAGATGAATGGAAAATAACTAATTAAATAATAAAAAACTGCACGATATGAGGAAATCCTATGAAAATATTTCGATACGAGTAATAAGTGGATCTAGTTTCAAGTAAAACATGACCGATACACAACTACATTATCACGGGCAGCCGTAGTACATTGGAATTTCCAAGCCAGGTCAACCTTTCCGGTACAAGTTTGTACTGTATCGCCCGGACATTGGGTAAATAAAGCAGACACTCAATAGGACTAGCCGGTGCAGCAAGGTTGACGCGGTTAGACTTTGGGTTGAATTTACTTTTACTAAAGGGTCAGGGCTTATACCCTCTAAATCTTATCTTTCATTGTCTTAAAAACAAACAAATTAAGTATTTTTATTTACTGTCTCTTGCTGTATAAATTCGCAAATAACAATTATCTTTTTTCAGATTGAAGAAATCTGAAATCAAGGTTTTCAAGTTACAAATAATTTGTATTAATATGCCAATGCTATTTAAAAAACAGTTCCTAAAAGATTGTTTCAGATTTTTTTTCAGTTAATAATAAGTGTAAAATTGACATTAGTCTCTATCAACTTATCAATTACTTTTTATTTAGAATATGATAAAAGCATTGTCAAGACTTAACGAGATATCATCCCTACTCCTCAGGAATAATATTCTCAACATTTTGGTGAAAACATCACAGAAATATTTTTTTAAATGTTTAAATCCATTATATTTTACAAAAATTTTGGGTTTTTTTATGATCCGGAAAAATATCAAAATGTTGTTTTTTAATTTCCAAACAAATTTAAATATTTTGAAATTTATTCTTAAACTACAAACTAGATGATACAGGTCTAAAATTTGCAAATGAGAAAAAGTAGAAAAGATTTTTTAGAATCTTTCGGTTTCAAAAAAAGCTTTTTTGAAATTGGCAACTTTTTAAAGTTTTAGCTAAAAATCGTTTAGTTTTTAAAAATAAAACGAAACGAAAAACTGTCATATTTTTCTTTCGTTTTAAAAAAGATGCCCATCCCCAGTAACCTGTAGTTTGGGGGTAAACTATCTATCTGTAAACTATAAAGGTTAAATAGTTTGAATAATCAAAAGTCATAGTTTGCAATTTAAGTTTACATGCGGCAGTACCGGCTCAACCCAATCCTATCCGTTTCAACTTAGCTTAGCTTTACTGTGAAGAAAATTTAGGAATTTGTGTACAAAATATTGAATATACTGGATTCAGAGAGAATGATAGAACCCAGTCATCAGTTCGAGAAATACCAGCTGAGATACGTAGTATACTGGACTCGGAGATGGAGGAGCTCAAGAACATATTGAAGGAACAGAACAGGAGTGTGTCCAGAACTCTTCAACAGGCAATCAGGTAGTTCATCTGCTCTTTAAACCATATTTATATTTCGGGACCACCCCCCCCCCCAACTGATATAAAAGTTTGGTCCATATCTTAAAGTTCCGATCTCAATTTGATATGTTAAACTTAAATTCTTTTTTTTCGCTTTTATATAGTTTTTTTTCGACGGATGCGTTTTAAATACCAAAAAATTCTTAAAAAATACAATTGAAGAAACAACAAATCCTGACCCGGTTAGTACATTGTGCCCCCCCCCCCCCCACCAAACATTTTTTTTTGGAAAACCTCAAATTATACTGTATAAAAGCTGGTCTGTTACACCAACTGCTGAGTCACCCAGACAAGCAAAGTTCGTACAGGAGGAGTAAAAAAACGTGAATAGCGAGATCCTGAATTTATAGCAGCATTTTTTTGGTAATTTTATTTTTGAAAAATATGTAAGAAAGTTTTGAATTTTTTTTTTGAAAATTAGATGAATAGAAAATCAAAAGTGCGGCAATATATTATGTCAATCGCACCTTAAAAGCTTAAACAAACCAGAGCAGTTTTGGAGAAAATGCGCGAAATTAAATTCAGAAATCAACATATTCTTATAATAAACTTTTGTTGCGTACTATTTTCCTAATATTATAATTCAGATATTTTACCTATCTCAAAAATTCAAACTAGAAAAAGAATTAAAAAAGAAAAAAAAATCATCAAAATGATTTTTTTTTCAAAAATAAAATTAAGGATTTTCTGAATTTAATTTCGCGCTTTCTTTCGGAAACTACTGATCTGATCTGTTTAAGATTTTATAAGGTGTGATAGAAACAATATATTCCCGCCCTTTTGTTTTTCTACTTATCTATTTTTGAGTAAAAAATAGTTTTGCGGATTTTTTAAGGGTCTATTTTTTTAATTTTATACATATTCGTTAAAAATGAGATTACCAAAAGAATGCTTTGTTATATGAGAGATTTCGCTTTTCACCCTTTTTTTAGACTCACCCTGTATATGTATATATATAGATTGGCTCATAATAAATTTTCTTTTGGGTTTTATTTTAAGCTTTTTTTTGTATTTTGTGTTTGAAAATAAATACTAAATACTAAATGAAACTTAACAACACAAACTATAGATCAAAGACAGAGAAATGTTATAAAACCTAATAGCTGAAAGTGGGTCAAAAATAGATTTAGGAAAAATTAGGTGAAGTATGGCTGGGTGCCGTTGCTTGTTTGTATTAAAAAAACGTTAAAACGGCTGAACCGATCGGGCCCATATTTTATGATGGATATGACCCCAGGGAAGGTTTATGGATGCTCAAAATTAGAAAAATGTGTCTCCAAATATTTTTTTTTCGTAAAATTTTGAAAATCCACGAAAAAAAATCTTCGAATTTCTGTGTTATTGTTATTTACTGTGCAAAATTTTTTGATGAAAGATAATGTATTTCTTAACTTAAATTATGATTTAAACATAAAAAATTAATTTGTATTGTGTACAAGGAAAACTTATTTTCGACACAAGTTATGATTTTGATTATTGCAAAATGAACTTGAAACACAACAAATGAGAAACTAACACGACCCATTTTACTTCATAAGTCAGGACTAGCAAGCTACCAGTTAAACAATTTGCTTTATATCACCATTTAATATAAACCAGATTGCTCAAATATCGTATTCTTATACAACAACTTCATGAATTTTGCTACAGAAATATTATTTTTTTTTTGTTGATTTCTTAATTTATTTGTAATTTTCTAAATTTTTCTTCTTTTTTTCTTCAATTTTTCTCAAACTTGAACTAATTTTTGTAATATAATCTTGGATCTAAAATATGTGTTATTCTCTGAATAGAGATCCAATTATTTTGAGAGCTGATCATTTAGTACGTCATAAATATCATTTAATACGTCATAAATATCAATCAATATATTAAATGTTAACAATAATCATATTTCCAACACAAACATCAAACTTTTAAAATGTATCATCAGAAATATGTAAAATGTATCATCAGAAATATGTAAAAACAAAGATTTTCTTTTAGAGATGAAGACCGAGGGGGTTTAGGTTCAGACACGGAAATTGTTATTCTCCAAGCCCTGGCCAAGCTCAACCAAATATCAGGAGTTTTACTCAGGTATAGAGCCTCATCTTTTTATACTCCGAGCCCTAGCCAAGCTCAATCAAATATCAGGAGTTTTTTCTCAGGTAGAGCCTCATCTTTTTATACTCCGAGCCCTGGCCAAGCTCAACCAAATATCAGCAGTTTTACTCAGGTAGAGCCTCATTTTTTTATACTCCGAGCCCTGGCCAAGCTCAACCAAATATCAGGAGTTTTACTCAGGTAGAGCCTCATCTTTTTATACTCCGAGCCCTGGCTAAACTCAACCAAATATTAGGAGTTTTACTCAGGTAGAGCCTCGTCTTTTTATACTCCGAGCCCTGGCCAAGCTCAACCAAATATCAGGAGTTTTACTCAGGTAGAGCCTCATCTTTTTATACTCCGAGCCCTGGCCACGCTCAACCAAATATCAGGAGTTTTACTCAGGTAGAACCTCATCTTTTTATACTCCGAGCACTAGCCAAGCTCAACCAAATAAAAGGAGTTTTACTCAGGTAGAGCCTCATCTTTTTATAATGCGAGCCCTAGCCAAGCTCAACCAAATAAAAGGAGTTTTACTCAGGTAGAGCCTTATCTTTTTTTATCCTCCGAGCCCTGGTTAATTTCCGACAAATATCAGATATATACAGACAAAGAAACGCTTAATTGAATATATTAACTTTTTTTAGATTCAAGAAATTTTATGTGTTGAAAAAAGTTGAAGTACTGCGAGGTACTTCGCATACATACGAAATACAATAACGGTGTTGTTTTCCATGCTGTTGTCATTGCCCTTTTTATACCTTTTTCTGGCCGAATAACTGGTGTAAGATAAGTACCCCGACATTTTAATCTTGGAGGATGCACATCAGGATCACTTTGTGATTTTGCCTGACCCACTGGTAGCATCTTTCCATCGTAAGTATGGGAGCCGGGGGGTGCCGGAGCTCATGGGAGTTAGCACCGATGGCGGTCTGGGCTCTCCAAGATTGGGGTTCTTCAGATCCTCCCTTATCTTATCTTATCTTACACAGTCGAACTCAAACCTGCAATTACTAATCCTATTTTATACTTTTTTCTTCTTTTCTCGTTTTCTCTCTTATGTTTACAGTAAACCAAAGGAAAATAAAAACTCAAGGTTCAATACAAGTTTTTCTCTTGTTGGACAGATTTTTATTATTTTTTCTACGATTATTTAAGAACTGGTATTTTTTGTTCTTTTACATAGATACATATATTATTTTCTTTTTTTTTTTAAGAACTGGTATTTTTTGTTCCTCTACATAGATACATATATTTTTTTACTATATATTTTTTTCTTAAGAACTGGTAATTTTTGTTCAATAATTGTAACTTAAATGATCGTTTGGAACTAAATGTTAACATTTCCATATTTGTATTTAAGACAATCATCACATTTTGTGAAGTTTCTTGTTCATCTTTGCTTCATAAATGTTTTATTTGTGGAATGAGTAATATGTATGTTTGATGTACAGTGATAACCAGAAAACAGTGGAATAGGAAGACGACAATAATTAAGTTTATTTGATGTTGTCACGAGTCACAAAGCAAATAGTTTTACTAGAAACTTATAAAATTACTAGGTAAGTGAAAATGATCTGTTTACACTGCACAACTGCTGTATCTCAAGCTCGTTGGAATTTTAAAAGTATGACTTGATTCTAAAAGTCGTCTTCTTATTTCAGAGTTTTTTGGTTATTCCTGAAAAAAAAATTCAAAAATACCTCCTCTTCCCCTCTTTTCAATATTGAAACGTACTTGTATAAGGATTTATTTTGGAGATTTGTTGTAAATTATTGAAAATTTATAATATTATTATTATTTCAGTATTTGAAAATATTTGGTCCAAATATCAAAAGCAAATCACCCTCCAAGCTTAAAATAGATATTTAATACAATATTTTCAAATTTAACCTGAAAAGGAGAACACAAATTCCTGCATACAAATAATCTACTATAAAAGGCTGGGAAAGCTATAAAAATGTGATCGAAATATTTTAATTCAACTGAGCAAATGAAAATTAAGCGTTCAGAGTTCAGGCTGGAATTTTCTGTGTAAAAAGTTAATGGAATGTTATCTCTATAAAATGAAAATTTGACATTAATAATGTGTACTTAAAGGGAGTGACCGGCAGTATATGGTAGTTGAACTGAGAATGTAGTATTGTGAAAATGTCTAATAAGTCTCAAATGATTCCTAAAATTTCTCCACAATACTACATTCTCAGTTCAACTACCATACATTGCCGGTCACTCCCTTTAAGCAAAAAAGAAACAGACTTTTCCTCTAGAGCATTAATAAAAATATATTTTGAAATGCAGGGAGCAGGAGAAGACAGAGAGACAAACTTCTTCTGCTCTAAGAGCACTTCCAGCCCTGGCACAATTTATTCAAGTCAGTATTTCTATTTTATATTTTTAAGTATTCTTCAGTGCAGTGTAAGATCAACAAAAATGAAAAAAGTCAACTTTTTGTCTATAGTCTTTTTTTTGGGGGAGGTTGGGGGGTTGGTGGTTTGCTTTAGTGGATACGTTTTTATTTCTATCTTTCTTTTAAGGCTCTGAAAAGTATTCCAAAATTCTAAAAAAAAAAAATTAAAAAATGTTTAGTCAAGTTGAAAACAGACTTTATGCAGGCTGAGACAGCTGATATCAAAGAGCTGATCTCTAAACCTGACACGAGCAATAGCGAGGAGTTTACTCTGCTTCAAGATTCTGTTAGGAAACTACAAATATATCAAATATCAATAGACAAGGCATTTAGGGGGCTTCGCTCCCATCTTCTTTTTCAACTTTTAACTGTGGCTTGATCTGTGAGCATCTTCTCTTTGTACAGTATAAAAGTCTCTTTTTTTCAATTTTTGGATTTCATTTTTTCGCGCGTTTTCAAGATATTTCAAATTTAAATAATTTAAGATAAAAACATTTTTAGATTACATATTTAAAGTCTGATTAGCCATAAAATATGAGGCCACGTGAGGTCCCACACAAAATTTTGGCCTGATCGTTGCTTGTCTGTCTGTTTGTTTGTATCCAATAAACGTCAAAACGTCTGAACCGATCCGGCACAATTTTTTTGAGGGACCTCACATGACCCCAGGGAATGGTTATTGATGTTAAAATTTCATAAATTTCCTCCAACAAACATGTGATTTTCATTAAATTTTGGAAATCCACAAATTTTTACTATCATATCCGCAAACTTGTTGTTAGCTTTTATTTTGCAATGTATACAAAGAGAAAATGTCCACAATTGAAAAAGAAGATTGAACTACAAATATATTAAAATGCAAGTATAAATAAATACAAATATATTAAACTACAAGTATATTAAAATCATATATTAAACCTATATTTGATTACAAAAATGTTTAAAAATTAAAATACTAAACTACAAATATAAGGAAAAACAGGAAGCAAAACAAAGTAATAGTAAGACCTCAATAATAAACTGGAAATAGATTTATTTATATATCGATTTATTTCTGTGCGTGAGCTTGTGCCCACACCCCTTATCCAAAATAAATTATTAATGTTAAAAAACTACAATTAGATTAAATATATTAAGCTATAAATATATTAAATTACAAATATATCAAATTACAAAAAAATTAAAATACAAACATATTAAACTACAGATATATTAAACTACAAATATATTAAACTACAAATATATTAAACTACAAATATATTAAACTACAATATATTAAACTACAAATATATTGAACTACAAATATATTAAACTACAAACATATTAAACTACAAATATATTAAACTACAAATATATTAAAATACAAATATATTAAACTAAAACATTTTTAACTGCAAATATATTAAAGTACAAATATATTAAAATATAAATATATTAAAATACAAATAAATCCCCTGATAAGATATTAAAGTTTACCGAAAATTGTTTACTAACATTTAAGAAAATATTATAAACAAAATTTTAGGGAAATCCCACACATTTTATATCTACATTTACCATTCTGATAGTTATTTTGAACGAACAGTTAATAATTTCGTTATTTGGAAGAAAATGCTAGAAAGCTTGAATGCTGTCATATTTGTATTATTAAAGGCAAAGTTTAGCCAACGATAAACTAATCACACGAGCAATCATTAAACTAAACGATATTACTCAACTTCTTCTCAAGGAACACAATTATTCATTAAAACATTTTTTATATTTTCTAGTCTCTGTTGTGATGTTTGTTTGTCCCATCATAACATAGTAACCCCTGGACTGATTTGCCTCAAATTCTAATTGGGGAGAACCACGGAAATGTTCTTATTTTAGTTTTGATATTCTTAGTTGAGTGGGTCGACTTTAACAGCGAAATTTTTGTGCGGTTAAACGACGGGATTAACTATGAGTACCCTGGGCAACGCTGGGTTCCCAAACTAGTTTGATAATAAGTTAGTAAGCTATTTCTACTGCAATTGTTCGCTGTAACTTTATGAATGTATAGTATTATACCTCATGGTTATTTTTATTGCAGTTTCAGATACACTTTTTTCATTTACTTTATTAAATATTAAAGACATATTGCAGTCTATTTCGTTAAATAAATGTTTTACTCAAATATGTTTTACTTTAAATAAATTTTGATATAAAATGAATGCCATAACTCAATAACGGCTTTTACTATATTAGAGCACTCAAACTTCTTCACTTTTTACACGCCTCCCCCCCCCCCTCTACCTCTTTATTTTACCAATATTAAATAGTCCAATCAGGATAGGGTTAAATAAGAAATGAAAATTGTGTGTTTAAGGATGTAAACTTTACAACAGCTGCGGTGACAAATAAACTGCCCGCAGCCCTAACTGCTCTAATAACCTCGGAAACCACCAAGATTAAGGAGATGATAGAGGCTCAGAACATTGCTGTCATAGGTCAGTATTGGTTTGAAATATCTTATACAATTTTAATATTTTTATCAACATATGGGATTGCATGTCCAATTAATGAGTGTACTTGGTGGTAACCGGCAACAAAGTTCGCTGAAAAAGTTTATGGAAATAAAGTCTTAAATTTTGGGACTAAAGAAGTCCTGTGGAAAAAGTTCTTGAAATAAAAGTCGCTGGAAATAAAGTTTTACCATTTTGAGACTTAATTTTCTATGACTTTTTATCCGTTTAAAGTATGATTTTATAAAAAAACGTCCGCGGAAAAAAGTCTTATTAAAGTAGAAAATGCAAGGGAACGAAGGTTGTTTACAACCATGTAATAAATGGGCAATTGGTATTAAAACACTCATGGCTATATTCAAAATACGGATGCATAGAAAAAAAAGAGTATTTTATATGAAAAGTCATAGAATTGACCTCATTTTTGTAAGTCTCGGGGCTTTTTTTCTTGTTTTTTTTTCGGTTATATTTTCTTCAGGACTTTATTTCCTGTGATCTTATTTTCTTTCCTGAGACTTTATAGGCAGCTCCATATACTATTTTAGGAAAAAAGTCCCAGGAATTAAAAACTCAGGACTTTATTACCAGTTTATTATTTATATTTATTTCGTCTTAGGACTTCAGAAAATTGGACTTTTATACCTATGTTTTTATTTCCAGGTTTTTTTTTCCAGAAACTTTTTTTCTGGTGACTTTCTTACATAGATTCTAATTGGCAATGCAACTCTTGCTTGCTTTTATTTATCATTTCTACCTGTTTACACTTACAGTCCTTACAGCACTAGATTGAATATTTTTGAGGTCACGTGAGCCTATACTCCCTTTCAGTTTTCGCTAACACTCCCTTTAAAAGTAATGACGTTGTAATTTAAGTGACCATCCATTTAAAGAGAAGCGTGTGTCGTCCAATTCACAACGGTACCCTTGAAACCTTCATGTGAACAATAATGTGGAAGATAACGTTTTTTTTTCTTGAAAAGTGTTTAATTTAGATAATTTTTCCATTGTTTCTTAAGCAAAACATGCACAAATGACTTAAGCAGATAAACGACGGATAAAACCATAGATAATTTTAGATTTTCTATATAATGATATTCCAGGGCCCAACAGGTTATATAGCATAAATATGTGAAGTACACCTGCAGTATGGAAACAGTACAACAAAATGGCCGTGTTACACTTTTTTCCATTAAATTCCTCTCTATATATTCTATTCTCTATGGATAAAACAAACAATTTTCATGAACAAAAAGATTTATATATTCTTAATTAGAGAAGGTTACAGTTGTGAATCTGACGTGCCACTTCATCAATGGAGGGTCACTTGAAATCATACAGTCCCTGTAAGAGTGACGAAATATTTGTTCATTTTATTAAATTCAGGTATACTCAGAGAAGAGGAGAATCTTGCTAAAGCAGAGAAAATAAATGACGAGAATAGGAATATTGAAAAAGCGCTGAAAGATGGTGTTGATCCCAAAGCTGCCAAATCTCTGAAAGACAGGTTTCTAGAAGTATTGGCTCCGATCATTGAGAAGAAATCAGATCAAGTAGAATCCAGGACAGATGACGAACAAATAGATTCACTTCTCCTCGCACTTACTCCGCTCTTAGATCAACGAAGAAAGCAAGAAGAGGAAGAAGAAGTCAAAGAAGAGAAAGAAGAAGAAGATACAACAGAACTAAAAGCTGAGTTGAATGGACAGAAATCTATAGTTCAGGCTTTACTAAGGCTGACAAACATTACTAAAACTTTACTGGAGGAGAAAGAGGAAGAAGTGAGAATAGATGAAGAGAAAGAAGAAGAAGAAGCTGAAGAAGAAGATAAAAATAAGAGAGATAAAGAAAGAAGAAACTGCGCAGAAAAAGATAGATCGCCCGCTAGCCTGCGAGTGATAGATTATGAGGATTACAACAATGGGTTTAGGAATGATTTCTACGATGACAGAAACTATAGGAGTCGACCCCGAACACTTATAGAGCGTGTAGCCAGTAGTTCAGGTAGTAGAGGGCTCAGGGGAAATCAGGCACTTTTTGAGGAGTTTGTTAAGCTTGCCATAGAGAGACAAAGGTGGGACCAAGCAGCTGATGTCCATGATATCATACAAAAAACTCTGACAACACCTGCTCCAGAGTTTGATGACTATGATGATTATGATGAATATTTAGATGATATCAAGGTCCAAAGAAACCATCCTAAAAAGAACAAAAATAAGTCAATTGACACAGATGAATCAAGATCAGCAGAGACGATACGGAATCAAAGTAGCAACCTTGACTCCCTAGAGGAGTATGATGAAGAGATTGTCCCTGGTGGCAAGAAACTGATCAGATCTGAGAACCTGAGACCTCAGGGCAGTAAACTCTCAAAATCTGGAAATAGAAATAATATTTCTAAATCCAAGCATAAAAACACAAGGAAACATCGACCTGGTAAAACTCAAAAGGTTGAAATGAAAGAACCTGTGGAAAAACCTATTAAGGAAGAATTTCCTGAGGATAAAGATATTACTGAAGAATACTATGCTTATGAAGAAGAAGATGGGGAAGAGGCAGCATATGAGGAGGATTATATGGAAGAACCTCCAAGAACCACAGTTCAATCAACAACCACTTCTACAACTACAAAAAGACCTAGACCAACAAGGCCAAGAAAGGCTTCAACAACAGCTAGAACAACAACAACACGTCATACAACAACAGAAGCAACAACAACTCTTCGTACAGCGACCGAGGAACCATTTTATGAGGAAGAATTTGAAAATACCAATGAGTTTGAAATTGCTGAAAACCCTGTAAATGATGAAATCCCCAATAATGAAAACTTACCACCACGAGAAATACAAGATGGCCGACAACAACAAGAAGTGAATGAGCGTCTCAAAGACTTATTTCAATCTAGAAACAATGAACTTCAAAACCAGGAGTCGTCTTCCTTCAAATCTAATATTCAGCCTGAATCCGAGGATGAAGATCTTGAGTCCAGAGCTAGAAATGAGGATGAAGACGACCGTGAAGAATCAAGAACAGGATTCCAGAATGTAAACACAAGAAACTCCTTCAACCGAAATCAGAACATAAAACTGAATATGGATCCTAGAAAAACATTTCCCCGCCGACCATTCTTTCAAGGCAGACGATCAAACACAGAAGTGCCTGAATCCAAATATCAAGATGAAAATCAAGATGAAAATCAAGATGAAAATCAAGATGAAAATCAAGATGAAATTCACGATGAAAATCAAGATACAAATCAAGATGAAAATGAACCTTCACCTTCCAACGGAAGTATAGACAACAATGAAAGTACTACTCCTGGCATAGAACCTGAAGTCCTTGAAGTTACCTCTCCCCGTGCTACTCTAGAACCTGTTACTATATCTCCTACCCTGAGAACAGTTGAGCTTGTACCTGAACCAACCAGTCCTGATCCTGTAGTATTCCTCGCTAGCCTTGTAAACAAGATGAATAAAGGTTTAGATAAACTAAACTCAGGTAATAATAAGTCACCTTACCCCCGAATTGTAAAAATTACTACAGTTTAACCCTGAACTTGGGAGAAATTAAAAGAATTTTTAAAATGTCGTCTTCTAAACCTACTGAAAATGAAATGTCACAGATATTTCTTATTTTAATTGAAGTTATATATGGAGCTCTTTAAAACAGTTCCCGCATATTTCATTGCTATTTATTTCTTCTTAAATAACTGAGATTTTAGTTTACCCCAGAGATCTTAAGACATCAAAAGAATTCATGAAATGTCGCCTTCAAAATTTGTTGATGGGTTTTATACCTTTAAACGTAAATTGCAGTAATCTCAAAAATAAATAAATAGCCATGAATATGCGGGAACAGTTTTAAAGAGCTTAATAAAATCATTTAATTAAAAAAATATCTGCAACATTCCATGTTATTAGAAAGTAAGGAATACAATTTTACAAATTTTTCCGATGTTTCATTATATTTGAAGTTAACTGTAGTATAAAATACATTGAAAAATTGTGAAGCCGACATTTTATAACTTTTGTCTGTGTCTCCTAAGTTCTGGGGTTAACTGTAGTAAATTAAATAAGTGGGTAACTGAACACTTGCTTTAAACTGGAATTCATAATTTTTACTTTTTGCAACCTTGTGTCTTAAACCTTAGATATTTCCAACTATAAATTCTTAACGTTTTAAATACCAATTGTTTATACTAACAACAAACTGCATGAATATAGAGTGTTCAATTCTTTGCCAGCTGGCATTATTATGACTCAACATTAGAACCATAAATTAATTAAAATAACAGATAGGTCACTAGATGTCGTCTTTTCAAAATTACAATGAAACTCGTTCACTTAAACCCTGAGGCAGCAGCCCAGAGGAGTTTAACGCAGTCGGCGCAGAACAGGCTCTCTGCGCAAAACTCCTATGGGCTTCTGTTTCAGGATTTTTGTGAACGAGTTTCATTGAAATCTTGAAAAGACGACATTCAGTAGTCTATCTGTTATTTTAATTAATCTATGATTAGAACTTAATCTAAATTTAATCAAAATTCCCAATTTCCTATATTTTCTACTCCTCAGTAAGCAAATAAAGAGACTTTTTCAAGCGATCCATGATCTAAATATGAGCATAGCCGATTTACAGCTGCAACCCTTGAAACCTGCGTTGGAGCAAAACGATGAAGATAACCATATTTTTATATCTAAAAAATTCATAATTTTCAATTGTGGTTCTTCATGAAATGACTCATAACACTTGTTGAGAAAGAAAAACTAAGGTGTTTTCCTAAGATAAAAGATTAAAGAGTTCCGGGTTCCCATTATAAATTAAGGATGCAACTTGATAAATGGAGGGTAACGCAATTAAAGGGTATGACGCAAAATTTCACACTTTTTTCTTTCGAATATTTAATTATTATCCGATCCTAATGAAAATCAATATCACAGTTAGTTCCATCCCCAAAAGATAATTACATTGTGAATTGTGATCGGAAAATAATGAAGCCTTTAAGAAAAAAGTGTGCATTTTTATTTTATACTCTTTACGCCGACCGCCCCTTTACATTTTATATTAAAGGAGACACTGGTAACATTGAAAGCCTTGAAATGAAGAAGATTGTAGCTGTTGAGCAGGAAATAGAAACTGAAACCAGAGAAGCTGAAGAACAGCCTCCAGCAAGTTCTCTGGTACAGCTCTTTCAAAAGAACAGAAAGCGAACTTTCGGGGTTCCACGCCGACCTAGTTTGACCGCCAAGGTGTCCGACAATATTAGAGGTTTGGAGGAATCTAGTTCAGACACAAATCAAGAAAATGTCAAGGATGTGAAATCTGAAGAAACTACTGACAAGGTTGAAGGTGCTGAGGAGAAAAGGATTGATGAAGATATAACAAATATTGTTCCTGTTGAAGAATCACGGTCTAGGTTTGGTTTACCAAGACCAACCAGAAGGAAGAATATATTTACTAAAGGGCCGTCCACCCCGGATACAACTACTTCTCCTGGAGTTCTAATCATTGAAGAGGTCACCACAAGGAAACCTAATTTCATCAGACCAAGACCTGTTTTCAGGCCTAAACCTGAACTAAAAAATGAAATAGAAAAGAAGGTTGAAGACTTTGGAGATGTAACTTCTTCAAATACTTTAAGTTCTCCATCAACCTCCAATACTACAGAAACACGTACTATAAACAAAGACGAACTCCCCAGTTCTTCAAGTATGTCTCCCCTAGAGAGTCTGTTTAGAATAGCAAGCAACAAAAATAAGGAGAGTTTAGTTGATGTTTCAACTTTATCCTCTACTAATCGAAAATCCGAACCAACTGGAATTAGAAAAAAGAAGAAAAAACTCCTAACTAATAGAAATCTTCTTCAGCTGTCTCCACAAGAACGAATGGTTCAAAAAGTTCAAGAAACACTAAATCAAAATAATTCTAGTCCTTATACACCAGTAGATGATACTGAATCTAGATCTAATTCACCAGTAGACACCGAACCTACAGATGTTACTGAACGAACTCTTAAAAAGATTTTACGTCGAAAGAAGAAGGATCGAGAAGGGAAACTGTTTAGCGACGAAGTTTTTCTGACCCGTAAAAAAGTTCGGATCCGAAGACCTGTGAATAGTCCAGACTTTCCTATTGTTTACAAATAATCGGCGGTGTACTGCAGATTTTATATAAAACAATTTTTTAGGTGATATTTGCTCTTGGTGCTCAACTTTATTTAGTATTGTTATAAATTGTTAATGTTTATATAATTGTATAATGTTCAAAATATATTTGTTTTCTTTAGAAAAACATTTGTTTCAGTAGAAAAAGATAAGCTTAAGGTTTTAAATCTTGTTGATTTGCACAGCTAGTTGATATCATTTCTCCGGCCTTGTTGCACCTCGTTTTTTTGGTTGTTTATGGTTTTTGAGATTTTCTTAAATACATAAATAAGTTTTGTTTATCTTTATAAATAATCACTCGATGTAAATCTGCTATTTGGGAAAATATAATTTTCTTCAAGTAATTTATTTGGTTTTATTCAGATTTAACTATTAATTACTACTTAACCGGGAGATTAAGGGAGGATAATTAAATTGAGGGGAAAACCACTTAGCCGAGGGCCTCCAAGACCTTTTTGGGGTTCTAAACCTCACGAGCGTAGCGATTACATTAAATTCGGATTAAAAAGAATATAAGAAAAAAAACCCTGGAGAAGAAGAAAAAAATAATGTTTTTCAATTACTTTTTCAATACTTTTTGTTTGGAGGGGGGGGGGGGGTTCAGAAATCAGAATTAAAATATATTGTTATTGTTGGATAACGTACGAAAGAGAAATATTTACAGGTACGAAATGCTACAAAATCAATTACTTTTACTGATAAAAAAAGATAAAAAAAAACTAAGATGCATTCAACTACATCGAGAGTATATATAAGCCATCATCTAATTTCTGCTCGCTTGAATAAAGACACATTTGATCTGAAAGTGATCACATATATTTTAATTATAATAGATGTTTTAAGAGCATCAGAGTTTTATCACTACTAACTAGCTGAAGTGCCCAGCGTTGCCCGTGTAATTACAAAAAGATTTATTTTTTTAAAATTTTAATTTCTTTTTAGTCTAGGTTACCACTCCTGGGATATCCTTAAAAAATTTCAGCCCATTCGGTCCAGCAGTATAACCGGCTAAAGGGATCATATATACGAATGTCTTGTTTTATTATATAGATTATAAACATTCTACATACTCCAAATCCTCAGGATCAGATTCACTATGATCCTCAACAGCCTTCTTTGGATCCTCCAGACTGTTTCTTGGCACATTTTCAGATTCCAAGTAGGTTGCCTCATTTTTCTCTGTTCTAGTTGGCGGATTTTCGTTTTGAGGAACAACTTTTGAGTTTCTTGCGCTATTAGAGACTGTGTAAAGATGCTTCTTCTCTTTCCTATTTAGAGCCTTCTTTATAACATTACTAGAGAACTTGTTCTCATTGTGTACAGAAAATGAGAATGAGGCTAGATCTAGTGATGTAGGAAGGGTAGTCGATGGAGGATAATCTAGAATAATCCTGGGATCTTCCACATCTTCCACTACATCAAGGAACGAGTCTGTTTTATCACTGACACGGGCAGATTTTCGGATATTAGAAGTGGACGGAGCGGTTACTGGAACGGACGGATGGATATCAGATTTGGACGAATTTTTATCCGATTTGGACGGATGTATATAAGATTTGGACGACTGAAAAACAGACTTTAATGGAAGGATACCCAAGGAAGAATGTGGTCGTTTTAGCCTAATTTGTGATGTAGAACAGCTTTCATTGTCAGGAGAGAGTGGATTATTGAGTTGGATGATTTCACAAAAATTGTTTAAACTTGACTCATCTGTTTGACTGGAACAAGGAGAAACATAATTTGATATTGTAAATATATTACTTGATGTATCCGCCATCCCTGAAAACAAAGAACCATGACATTTTAAGCGTAATGAAATGTAAAATTGGGTATTGAGATTGGGAAAACAAAAATAAAATAAAGTTTGTCTTTGATAAAACAAAAAATGTACAAACATTTAAATATATATATATAAAACATACCATGCCATCTACATTATAATAAAATGATCCACATTTATTTGTTGTTTATATCCAACAGCAAAAGGGAAGTAATTTGAAAATGTAAGAAAATGCAATGACGATATTCTGTGTAATCGTTTCTAAGGTCTCATACTATAATGTGGGTAATCCTGACTATATGGGGTGTTCCAATTAAATAGAAGTCTAAAAACATTAAAAGTTAAAACAGTTAACACCAAAAACAACCAGTTTTGGGATTTCCAAAATGTGGTCTATACCAATTTTTTACCTTCATATTCCAGAGTCCAGTTTTTTAAATATAAAAAACTATTCAAATGTTTAATTTCTCCGTCATTTTTAAAGATAAAGAGAAGACCACATTTTGGAAAGCTCATTAGACATTAAATCTTTTTTAATGCACTGAAAGTCATTAATTATTTATTGGAAATCAAAGAAGATATTCATCTCCTCTCTCAATTCCCATGTTTATTAGGACACATTGTACCTGGTAGCTGTGGAGGTGGATTCTGTTCATTACATTCACCACTTTCAATGTCGTCTTTTCTTCCAACCCCCGGGGAGGATTGATGGGTTCTCACAAGGGTTGACAGAGAAAATTCTTCCTTACTTGACGATAATCTTCCTTCTAAATTGTTTATGCTTTCGCCACTTTCTGTTTCACCTTGAGGGGGCCTGAATAAACAAAAGGTTAAAGAATTTTTAAACTTCCTTTTTGATATTTAGAACGTTATAATGTAAGTGAAAGTATTGTTAGACTCTTGAGCTCTAATAAATTTCGATTGTAATATTTGTTTAAACGAAATTAAAGTCTAAATTTTAAAAAACTGGAAAAAAATGTTTTTTGTTGGTTAATCACCCTGCTTATAACACTTGATGTACAGGGATACCCATAATGGATGAGACTTTATTGACGACTTAAAACTTTAAAGTTATAACGCTCTGAAGGCTAAATTTTGTTACCTGCCATTAATTTAGTTGGTTAATGATAAACTCAATGATTTGGCAAAGGAAGAAAAAAGTTTAAAGTTGCAGGAAATAAAGCATGGTGGGAAAAATACTGATTAAATTCTGTACAGTCGTCTCTGAAGTGTCATTCTTTGTGCATAACCAAACGAGGATAAATTGGGTGTACTGCACAAGACCTGATTGTAAAGTAAAAAAGTTCCAAACCTTGCCAAATAAAAAACTTTGATGATTCAAAATTAAGGCAAAACCTTTAAGGACTACACCCTGTCTAAACTAAATGAAAAAGCAATATTAGAAAATGGAATGCTTCCCTCCCCTCTTGACTTTTATGATTAAGGCAGAAGCAGACCTGCTCTGAGAACTGTGTATCGATCTGATTTGTGAGAGTTTTGGAGAGCTGGTAGAGTGGAGGGGAGAGAATGTAGGTGAGGTGGGGTTGGTAGAATGGAGGGTTAAGAAGGGAGGTGGGGGGGAGTTGGTAGAATGGAGGGGTGAGAATGGAGGTGAGGGGGGGTTGGTAGAATGGAGGGGTAAGAATGGAGGTGGGGGGGAGTTGTAAACTGGAAAAGGTCGAATTGAATTTAAGGAGTTGGAGTTTCTGTTAAGTTGCAACTGAATACCTGCAATAAAAAAACATAAAAAACTTTGCATCAATCTCAGATTTTCTAAACCTTATTCTTTGCAACAACTTTTCACTATGTATGAATATCTTTCTACCTGCAAGACCCCGAGGATCCAAGTTGAGCGCCTCCTGGTACGATGGAAGGTCTTGAGCCTCAATTGTTTTGTAATCTGGAGGTAGAGATTTAGCTCCTTCTCGGGAGTTCTGAAATTCCTAAGAATTCAGGAAACTGCAGTTTAACCAAGTTTTTCGGGGCAATCGAAAGAATTTATAAAATGTCGTCTTAACAATTTTTCACTGGGTTTTATACGGTTATGCAAAAATCGCAGAAATTGTAAAATAATAAATAAATAACCATGAATATGCGGGAACAGTTTTAAAGAGCTTCATAAAATTATTTAATTTAAAAACTAAATATCTGCAGCATTTTATTGTCTGTAAGTTAAGAATACGACATTTCATAAACTCTTTCGATGTTTCCGGAGTTATGGGTTGAGATTAATAGATTAATTAAAATAACAGATAGATGTCGTCTTTTCAAGATTTAGAGGATTTTCGTTCTCAAGAAACCTGAGGCAGAAGGCCAAAGGAGTTACGCGTATTTCAAAGTTTTACAGGGTATTCGGTCGTAGTTAATGAATAACGAAAAGTAGATAAGATCTACAAGTATATAAATTATACAGGGTGTCCCCTATCATATTAGACTATTAATATTGTCATCCAGAAAAAAACAATCNGGGGGGGGGGGGGGGTCCACCTCCCCCCGGTTTTCTCCATAACATAAAATACTAGAAACACTTAGCACCCGATCCATATTTGACAAAAAAACACCCGATCTTGAAAGGGTTAAATTTCATGTATATTTATGACATTACCTGATTGGATAGAGCGTTCAATATTGATTTGAGAGTGCCAAACACCATAATAGCTGCCCCTAAACAAATAATTAAACAGATTAACTAAAAAAAGTTAGAGTACTGACGTCTGGTTTACCCTAATTAGGCTCTATTTTCTTTTTGTGATCGTATCTCAATAACATTTGATACCTTTCTGGAAAGCCCTTGGACTCTACTTTAATAATCTGCAAAAAATTACAAATTTGTAAAATCTAAACTATTTATTGCGAAATCTTGGCTGTTTTGCAAAACATTTGTTTAAACAAAAATTGCGCAAATAAATGTGAAAAATCAAACATTTTTGAAAATTTTACAAAACATGTGTATTTAAGAAAAAATTAAATTGAGAAAATTCCCTGTTCAGGCATCTGTGCAAAATTGGTTTGCAAAAGTTGTGCAATCTGCTGTCTTTCGTCATATTCTTTCAAAGAGCCATTCATTTTTGAAATCCAACGACTAAGTATAGGTCCAAATATAGATTCCGTCTGGAAAAGGTAAAATAAGGCATTTAGGCAGTATACCTGAGGACTCAGGCAGAAGGTATACTGCATTAAGTGATGGGCATGTGTTAGTTACAAAAATTGGAGCTTCATGGCTCAGATACTTCGCAAAAAAACTATAGGGGTGGAGGGGGGTAGTGTTGAAGGGGTGGAGGGGGTAGTATTGACCACCCTCTGTCGGAAGGGTTGGCTTTAAAATCCATTCTTGCCGTTACATCAAAATTTTGGTATTTTTAAAAAATTTTGTTCTATAACTATCCTTGATGTATGTGTTTAGAAGAAAATCACAGTTTAATTCTTCAAATCTTTAAATCGGGTTGTTTCAATTCTTTTTACATTTAAATATTTTTCTAAAAGAGCAGAACAGGGATTAGAGGGAGATGTAAGCGTTATTAAAAGTGGTTAATTCTGATATTTCTTACAAGATTTTCTGTTGTAGAAATGAGTAATTGTCTTTTTATAGAGAAGCCAAAATCGAAAATAATCAGTTTTCCAAACTGTAAAATTTGAAATCTCATTGAAGGGTATGTGAATCGGACATTGCATCAAGGGACACACGAAGTTACACTTAAAATCCCTGTAGGTACTAAATAAACGGGAGGATTATTTTTCTGTAATCTTTAATTCTCTTTTACTATTGGTCGAGCTTTAAATGTTTCCAAACAAAAATTTCGACACCTGAACAATGATATATCTATATGCTAGCTTTAGCTGGCCAAACGGCTAAAAAAAATAATTTATTTTGCCAAACTTAAAACTTTTTTTCTTCAAAATTCGATTTTTTTATTTCATTGGCAATGCCAGGCCATTCAACTAGTAATTTAAAAAAGCGATACCAACCTGCAACCAAGAGAAATATTCCAACATACCGAACATACTCATCCCAAGAATTATTAAATCCTTAAATAAATATATTTGAAAATGCAATATTAGCACATAATACATCGTCAGATAGCATTAACTCTCAAACATTTCAACAAAGAGAATTTGGCAATTAACAGCTTCTCTTTGTTTGCTACTAAACTTGTAATTTAAAAAGGGCTTGATAGTGATCAAACCATTATTAGTAAAATGTCGTCCTGATTGTATTGATATAATCGCCAAACACAAGTTGTGGAAAACTAAGAAACTTAAATAAATCAATACAAGTTTGTGTTTAATTTCACGGAATCATCCTGACAACAATATTAGATTCAATCAATATTAGAATCAAGTTTTAATTTTAAGAAGGCCAATGAGCATAATACACAGCAATTGTGCAGTGTTATCAGACCCATTTCACTAAATTTAATAAGTGTCTAGTAAAACTGTAACATAAAATACACATAAGTATTGATTTAATGTCGTCTACCTATTCCATCGATTTCTGGTTATCCCTGTGTACAATAAAAACAATAATCTCTTAACTTTTAACCATTAGCAGAATTTTTCGGGTAAAGTTTTTCAGTTTCTTTTTAAGGTTCTATAATATGTTGTAAATGCCCTTCTCCAATAAATTCTTTTAGACCTGTATCAATCCAGGTAAAACTCAGTCCCTCTTACTATCAATGTCAATCCGGACACAATATAATCTGTACCAATAAGCAATCCCTCTCGCTATGACTGGTGAGGCATAAGAACTAATCAATGTCAACCCGAACACCATATTATCTGGTATCAGTTCTTTACTATCAATGTCAATCTGGACACGATTTTATCTGTACCAATACCCAATCTATATCTATTTTTTCACATCGTAATCAAAGCGGAGTTTAATTACAAATAAATGTATTTGGGGTTCTATGTTACAAGTTAAAGTTAATCAACGTAATTACAAGTTTTGCATCGTTATATACAAACGTAATTAAGCTAATCATGTTACATAGTTATTTACAGTGCAGTTAAGATTACTCATGATATGGGTTTTACGCAGCTATAACAAACGTAGATAACAAATAAAGTACAACGTAGTTCAGGTTACAGATAGATAGAGGGTTACACGATATTCATTGCAAATATACTTACTTTTAGGTGACTCTTTAGACCAACTAGGGAAACTATCCGCTTGTCCTGAAAAGATGTTGTTTTCTTATCTTTATTTTGCCGGTAATCTGAACTTTAATCTTCATTCAAAATCTTTAAAGGACAAGGGAAGAGGTTAACCCAGGTTGCTATATAGTTTATATTTTTTAACATTTTATTTTTTTTAGAAACGTTTTAATGGATTTCGAAAAATGTGAGTGGTCCGCGGCATTCTTAGATAGTTGCGCAAGCGACGAGAGAAATAATGAAATTCAAAACAAATTAATTGAAAAATATTATAAAATATAAACTATATACAAATGTGGCGAAAGAAAATCGATGACTATAGGTTGTAATATCTGAATGATTTGTTTGAAATTAAATTTATTTTTTACGCTCTAAGTCGTATGTTGCAATTTTCTGAATTTGTATGGGCGCTACGTTATTCGGTATGAGACGTCTTTAACAATTTTCTCCTTATAGACGCAACAGATAGAAGTAATATTAGTAGCGATCAAAAGCGCTTTTTTATCGCATTAAACCTATACCCCCTTTCATTTTTCGCGAACACTCCCTTTGAAGCAGCTTGCTTTAATATGACAATATTGAGCATCTCATTTCTGATTTTTGAAATTTGCATCTTAAGAAAAAATCTTACCAATTATAAGAGATATTATACCAATATAGAGTAAAATTAGTCCATATCTAAACATATAAAAGAATTGACAATCTTTAAATATAGAGAATATAAGAAACAGCTTACAACTTACCAACTTTACAACTTGATTGTGTAAACCTTTGATATTTCAAAGTTAGATTATTTGATCTAACAGAATTCAATGTTTGAATTATCTAATGTCTACGTCAAAAATAAAGGAATTTGAAACTCAGAAACAATTGCTTTGTCTTTTCACAATATATTATATCGAGGTTGATATTTACCTCAATGGAAGATATAAGTTGGATAATCTAAATCTGTTGCTGTTTTCCTCATTTGTGTTCTAAAAAATATCTTTTGTAAAAAAGTATATCAATTGCTTTAATTTTTACAATTTTATCTTGGCATAGTACTTTCATGTTCCTACAGTCGATCGAGCTAATAATTACCACAGTAAAAATTAAAAGGCCCAATCCAAGCAGCGATTTTGACGTTTATTGAATGCAAACAAACCGAAATTGACAAACCAAAATATACATGCAAACAGATTTGTGACAAAACTTCAAGAAAAGGAATTGAAAAGTTTTTACAGAATCTAAGTTTTTAATCCCTATATCTTTACAAGCTGATGGTGTAAACCTTTGATATTTCAAACTTAAATAGTTTGATATAACAGAATTCATAACTTGAAATATATAAAGTCTCTGACATAGGGTTGCAAAGATATAGGGATTAGAAAATCAGAGTTTGTGGAAAAATTCTTTCAATTTCAAATTCGTTCAAAAAGGATTGAATTCACTTCTCTGATAACAAATCATTGAGTTTTTGCCACAAACTCTGGTTTTCTAATATCAATATCTTTGTAACCCAACGTATAAATCAAAAATCTAAGTTTGAAATATAACAGGTTTGCACCATCAGGTTGCAAAAATATAGGGATAAGAAAATTTGATTGTGTGGCAAAAACTCAATTCCTTTATCCGGTCACATATTAGATATTCAAAACATGTTTTTTCTTTTTCATTTAGAATTCACGTTTATAGCTAGCTGCACCGTTTATCCGGTGACATATTAGATATTCAAAACATGTTTTTTTCTTTTTCATTTAGAATTTACGTTTATAGCTGCACCGTTTTTTAGTTTTCGCGCCATTTTCTATTTGTTTCACTATTTTAGGTTTTTTTTGCATTGTTTTTCTTTTAAATTTATAGATTTTTATTTCTGTTTTGATACTTGATAAATAATTGTACATTATAATTGTATCAAGTATTTATTACAATTTAAAATTTTTACTCAATTATTTGAAGTTTATTGAAGAATAAAACCCTCGGTGACATTTTATCTACTTAAATATGCATGAAATTGATTCGTATTTGAAGGTCGCAAATCTAGAACATACAGCTAACATAACAGAATATATATACTTATATCAAAACGAAAATGTCGAGACTAACAATATTGATTAATGTTATAATATATTAACTTTGATTTATATATCAATATATATACATATATATATTTCACTTTTTAACTTCACATTTTTTATTAAAAAAGAATTATACTAAACATAATGTTTCGCGTCTATCATGACGATCCTCACTAGTTAAAATTCTTTGAAATATATAGGTTTATATTCTGACCATTACTTTCTCTACAATTGTAGGGGAAATTTCTCCATGCCCCCCTCTCACTCCTCATGCATAAAAATTGTCTAATGTATACAATTGTATCCCTTGATCCTCTGCTTATAAGCTTCTCAATCGTTTAATCCATTAGTTTTTGACATAATGTTGATTTGATTTGGAGATGTGTTTTTTTAATTTAAACTATTTAGCAAACTGTTTTGTACGTTTAACAAATAATTGGCAAATTAGAATAAATCTTTAAACTTTAAACCTAGAAATTAGTAATTAGCAATGAACACAGGTTAACTCAGCAAATACAACGTTCGTAAACTAACTAAATGTAAAGGGTCGGGAATGAGCAATAAAGCTAATCCATTAGCTGATTCATGTAAACCGGTTTCAACAGGAGTTTTTGACTACCTGCATGAAAATATACGATCTTAAATCTTAAACAGGATCTACTTTAAAAATAATGATTAAAAATCGTTTAAAATGCAACTAATAATCGTTTGTTAAATTTCTCATTTGAGTTTTCAACAATTTAAATATGCAAATTAGGCGACTGTTAGCCGCCTATTATGAAGCTTTTTTACTTCACAAATAACGATTTAAATTCGTTTAATTTCACCAATTTCTAATTAAGAGTGCAATGACTGACTTCACAACAGAGATAGGTTTAAGCTAAAGACCTGATTAAAGGAATTGAGTCTTTGCCACTAACTGACATTTTCGAATTCTTTAGAAGGTGTAAACCTTTAATATTTCAAAATTAGATTATTTATCTCACTGAATTCAAAGCTTGAAATATCTAAGGTCTAAGACATAGGAATTAGAAATTTTTAATTTTTGGCAAAGAATAAATTTCTTTGAAGAAATATAATATTTTTTAACTCTGTAATAAAATCGCGCGACAGTTCTATAATAATGTTCCTTCATTACATATAATAGAGCACAAGTGGCCTGTATTGAGTTGTTTAAATATGTTGATAATTACGCAATCAATATCTATAATATCAATATCTATAATATCTATCTTCCTTATGTATTACACAAAATACGCAATAGTTATTTATTAATTATGAACCTAACGGCCAATTCAAATCACTTATCAGTAAAGGTTTTGTAAAAACTGATAACTAAAAATACTGGTCTCATTTCAGTATATTTATACATATATATATTTCAGTATATTTATACATACATATATGTATATTTATATAGTTTACATAACCGTATCATAATACTAGTCTCATTTCAGTATATTTATACATATATATATTTCAGTATATTTATACATACATATATGTATATTTATAGTTTACATAACCGTATCATAATACTGCTCTCATTTCAGTATATGTACATTGTACATACAAGGGTTACTTTCGTCAAATTAAAGTAAAAGAATTATTGTTTTATCTCTTATACAAACTCGGATCTTATGATCTTTATATCTTTGCAACCTGATCTCGTTGACCTTTCTAGGTTGCAGAGATAAAGGGATTATAATTTATTTGAGTTTGTGGCAAAGACTCAATTCCTTTCATGTTAAATTGAAATCTTAAATGCTTTATGCCATAAGTTCATAATTGAAGATCTATTGCAAAGAACTATAACATGTTTGGAATTTCTAGTTTATCAAATAAATTTGCGTTTCTCATTCTTGAACGTAAAATTTATAAACTTTAAACTTTAAAACTTTTTTTCAATAAAGTAAAAGGCACCACCTAGGGCCCAAAATGTTTATTTTGTCAGTTTTAACGCAAAAGAATTGAGTCTTTGCATCAAACTCAAATTTTCGAATCGCTATTTTTTAGCAACCTGATGATTTAAACCTGTGATATTTCAAACTTTAATAATCTTAGCCAACAGAATTCACAGTTTAAAATATCTAAGGTCCAAAGCATTAGGTTGGGAAGATATAGGGATTGGAAAATCCGAGTTTGTGACTAAAACGATCAATTCCTTTTGACAAATTTCAACTCCTTATTTAGGCTAACCTTTAACTTAAATAGAAATATTTTTCATAATAGTTTAATATTGAAAAAAGATTAAAAGGCTCACATCATAAAGCTTTTAGTTTACGATTGCAAAAATCTCTTGTAAAAAAAAAAAAAAAAAGACGGATTTTTACCCCGATATTTTCTTACTTTTTAGAATTAACAGGTTTGAACCAAATTAACGACCTATATTTAGACTAGAATATCAACTTTTAAATATGCCAATACAAAAATTATGATGGGGGGGGGATTTATTATATAAATTACCTGAGATTCACACACCATATCAAGAGGAAACCCTGAAAATTTATTTTATAATTTTTATTAAAAAAGGAATTCAAATTAATCGTTCTATGTTATACTTAAAGGGATCTAGATACTATTTCAAATGTAAAAAGAGGTGCATGTCCGATTCACAATAAAGATAAATTAAGGTTTGTTTTTCTTTCTGAAAATTTATTATTTTATCTGTGGTTTTTGTATAAGGGTCAAATAGATAAACGACGATTTCTACCTTATTTTTGATCAGATAAAGGTTGTAAGGACACCGTTTTGGGAAGAAATAACAATAATAAAATTACACACTCACAATATATAAAAGTTATGTTCTTGAAGGAAACAAATGTTTATGGAATATTTGCTTAAAATCGAACCTGTCTAAATGGAGGCTGGAGCCAGACTAATTTTAAAATTTACGTGGGATGAATTCAAGAGGATTGAGAGTAGAGATTTTTTCAATATCTTCTCTCCTTTACCGGGGTTTACTATTTTTATAACATTTTGACCGGCCGTTTAGTATATCTATTAACTTATTATAATATTTATCAAACCATGGTTTACTTCTTATATTAGTCAAACCAAAGTTAGTTTTAACTGTTCCTCGTATTTAAGATTTTTTTAAGTTTTAAAAAATCCAAAATGAAGTAAAACAAAACATTATTTTAACCTTTTTTTGTAAACGAAACCCGCTCCAATGACAAAAAAAGAAAGTAGAAATTTCAAAATTAACATGATGATACACACTTTGCTATATTAAGTTAGTTTATATTACAACATTATTGTTTGAATCGGTCCTAAAAGTCTAAACTGAAAAGTATACGCACTCTTGAGGAAAAAAATATAAAAAAATTACACAACTGGAGTCCTACAGCTGGTATATATAATAAAACTAGTGATATGCTTCGATTTTTTAGAAACCACACAATACGATTTAACAAAACATTTTCATCTTGACTTTAGATTTTATGTCAAAGTCTACAATTTGAACAATTTTATAAAAGTAAGCTTCTATAAAAAAATTTAGACTTTAGATAACCTTTGAGAGAATTCAAAGTTTCCCGGTGCCCATCTCTATCTACAGCAGACGTAAGAGTGCTTGCAACAGGCAGTTTTATTAAAGGGAGTCACCGGCTATGTATGGTGGTTGAACTGAGTGTACAGTATTATTAAAGGACTCTCATCGAAATATTTAAAATCATTCAATTTTCACTGGAGTTAATTAGTACTGTAATTATGTATATTGTTTAACTCATATAACAAGAAGACATTGAAAGAATATATATAATGTCGCCTTGAATTTGAATTTGTAGCTACGTCTTGTATTTTCCCCAGCTGTCGGGGTTCTACTTGCAGCTTAACAAGGATTTGTGCTATTTACCAAACCATGATATAAATTTCTGCGTTGAAAGTCAAAGTTGTTATTGTGAAAATATTTTTTTGTTAAGATAAATAAATAGCCCTGAAATATGCAGAACATGCTATCCAATAACTTCACATAGTGTATTGGTGTAAACTGCCCCAAAATGAAAATTAGGGTGGTATGTTATTTTTCCACTGTTTCTGTGCGCTGCATATAAAAACATCAACAAATGTCACTTGTTAAAAAAAATCAGGACCACGTCTTTTTTCTGTGCGTTTTTAAGTTCAAAGATTCAGCTCTTTCAAAAACTTTTCTTTTTATTTGTCAAAATTGTGTTTCTTTGCGCCGCGCATATTAACATCAAAATGAACCATATCTTTTTTTGACAGAGTTGAATCTTTGCACTTGAAAACGCGTAGACGCACAAAAAAATATGGTTCGAATTTTTGAATCAACTTTAATTTTGATGTTTTTATGCGCGGCACGATTTTGACAAATAAAAAGAAAAGTTTTAGAGAGAGATGAATCTTTGCACTTGAAACCGAATAGATGCACAGAAAAAAGATGTGGTCCGAATTTTTTATCAATTGACATTTTTATGTTTTTATACGCGGCACACAGAAACAGGGGGAAAATGACAGACTACCCCAATTTTGATTTTGAGGCTATTTACATAGGTATATAGTTGGACGCTAATATACGTACATATCCTTTATATTAAATAACCCTCAGCGGAAAACACAGGGAAATTTTTTTCATTTTTCCAATGTCCTCTTAAGTATTAAGTTTAACTGTAGTACCACCTCTAAATTTCTTTTGGCCGTTGCCCTTTTCAACAAAAATTTAATTTCATAACAAACTTAGATTGTAATTGTGAAAGTGTTTATAAACTGGAGGTGAATTTCTTGTTTACAAAAAATAAAACATTTTCGAAAAGAGTGGTGTACACTTAAAAAAGACATACCCAATCAGAAGTCAAAACATTTGAGCTGGGAATCTCTGAATAGGGGGGGGGGAAAACAGAGTAGCCCCCCCCCCCTCTCAGCACATTTCACCCACCCCCCACCCTCCCACACTTGACTCCATGATCATGGTAGTGGATCATCTTTTAATAAATTTTGACAATTAAGAAAAAAATAATTCTAAAAGAATTTCTAGCAATTTTCTCCTTTTCGACTTGAAAGAGTAAGTCATTTTTCCTGTATTTATGTTACTTTCATGAGTATTACAATTTACATATATCATTTAATTAAGGTTACACATGAACCTGACAACCTAAGAAGAGAAACATTAACAAGAAATAGGATAAGGTTTATATCAGACTATTAGGACTTTTGCAGACTATAAGAGTAAAACAGGGATAAGCAACTTACCATGGCAAACAAGGACAGAAACACTTCGATCAGAAAGACTATTATGGATTATTTAAAGACGAAAGATAGTCAAGTACTGCCATGAACTACTTACTACTTAGGACTGCACAGACCTACGATTTTAAGTAACTATTTAGTGGACGAATAATAAGCATGATTAATGGATGAATTACAAAAAACTGTAATAGGGGACTTTATATACATAGTGAACAAATAGATTATCAAGTACAATAGGTGGCAACAGAGAAATCAACCTATTATACACTACGTCACAAGTCTCAAATATAACAAGGAAAACGAAATTTTCTCAAATTAGTTGGCATGTTTCCTAAGATGAAATAAAAAAGTGTAAAAACAGAAACTAAAAAACACATTAAATTGCACTTATTTTACTGTAAGAAAAGCACTTTATTCTAATATTATCAATATCATTGATGATTTTGTCGGACACAAAAACTGAATTGACACTTGTGACGACAGAATACAACTGTACTGGGTGTGTACAAATTCTACGTTGCCATCTATTGTACTAGAATCTATTTGCATAGTGAATATAACTAAGCAAGGGACGAACAGACAAGAAATATATGAAAAGACACTAGATGAACAAATTTTTTTTGCCACTTCGCACACATGTTTAATTAGATTGTTCATGTCGTTAATTTTAAAGCTGTTGAAAGGATATTTTCGCTTTATTTTGCGAAACAGATTTACGCAAAAAATGCGAAGATTTCCGTCTTTTAGAAACGGAATGCGAAATTTTCACAAACCGATTTTGAAGGAAACCCTTATAACTTAAAATCTGTTTAAAGTCTAACTGTTATTTCACTTTATTCTTGTTACTACTGTGGTGAAGACTATGGTATGTCGTCTTCTACATACAAATTCTCAAATCAAAATTAAGAAAATTGTTATAAGCATAATTTTGTGTATTGTTCACAACTGCTTCATGAAATATTTGAATCGTTGTTTTTTCTTCGTTGTTCTATTTTATATTTTTCCTTTGTTTACTACAGTGAAACCCTTAATAACGAATACATCGAAAGAATTCTTCAATGTCGTTTTCTTCACTTTCTGATAATGGAATGTTGCAGATATTTAGTTTTTTATTATATTAAATGATTATATGGAACTCTTTAAAACTGTTCCCGCATATTCATGGCTATTTATTTATTTTCGCAAATACTGAAATTTACGTAATATAGTATAAAACTCATTGAAAAATTATCAAGACGACATTTGATAAATTTTTCCAATGTATTCGTTATTAAGGGTTTCACTGTATGTTATAACTTCTACCGATAAATGCTAATTTTGTTTACATTTTTAAAATTAAGGAGTAATATTTAATTTCTTATATAAAGAGCAATATTTCCCACATACTCTGTGATGTTTACTACACAAATAACAATGTAATGTTTACAAAACAATGTAATGTTTACAAAACAATGTAACATTTACTAAATAATGTAACATTTACTAAACAATGGAATATTTACTAAACAATGTAATATTTACTAAACAATGTAACATTTACTAAACAATGTAATATTTACTAACAGTGAAATGGGAAAAAAAAACCCTTAAATTCAGTAGATGAGTGAGAAACACTATAAAATCGGAGGAAAGTAGGGATTTTCTGTGCTATGGGATTCCCTCTTTACCCTCCCTTCCTGACCTATCCAAACTTCCGACTCCTACACCTATTTGTTACAAACAGCATTTGTAATTGAATTCTTAGTGGACAGATGTTGTCGGCTACATTTTTATGACCACTGGGTGCAACCAGGATTTAGACATGGAACTCAAAAACCATACCATCAATCATCAATTTTTCTTGTTGGCGAATGGAGAAATCATAGGGAGAAAGGGCAGGGAGACATCCCCCCCCCCCCATTTTACCTACATTTCATAAAATATATCTTAAAGCTTAGTCAGCACTGAATTAACCTTCAATCAGCTTGTCAAGTCAGGCATGCTTGAGTTAGACATTTAACAAAACTGAAAACTAATACAACGGAGCACAGTGTCCCAAAAAATACTGGTTTCGAGAAATTATAATTTTCTTTAAAATTATCAGAATCAGGGACAGTCAACAGAAGGAAAAGAAAAAAAGGAAAGAGAGAAACGATGACAAGAAGAAAAATCAAATCAGAATTTGTCTGCATCAATTATATCCAATTTGTAAAATTAAAAATTCAAAAATAATAAAAAAAGATATTTCAAATTCAATTGCCAATAGGTGTTAACCGCAATTTAATTGAGGCTGGCACGGAAAATACAGTTGGCA